TTGGTACCGGCCAAGGAGCATGCAGTAGCCACTTCCTACGTTAGACCCCTAGAGATCGTTTGACCTGGCAAGATGTCACCCCAGTTAGTATAGCTGCGTTCTACCTGGATGCTATCTTCATGTTCGCAGCTGATGAAGGTGACTGTGAAGTTATTCTTTATTTGTCAAATCGTTCAAGTCCGTCAACATGAAAATCGATGTAGTAAATGATCAGATGAAGTAACCAAATGCATGGAAAGCAAGCCTGGTTGAGACTGTACTTCGATCTTTTTATACTCCTAAGTTAGGAACAAAACTTTGCTAGCTGTCCGCTCAGTACAATCGGAAAAATTCACTTACCTGATCGCATCCAAAAGAAATTTAAAATAGCCCAGAACATGCGGAGGGCAAACAATTATCCAGCACCATTTAAATCCGAAAGCGTTTGTCTAATAAAACAACAGAATGGCCTATGATGGGGGTTTTCGTCAATCGGCTTTTCCATGGTGACGGCTCCAGCCGGGTATATTAATAGAGGGTTGATTTAGGTCTGCTTACATGCATTCCCTCTCGCTAGAGTCGGAGCACTGCATCCCACAACGACTGGGAGGAAAAGAAACGGCTGTCAATTCCGGCGACGCTCACACGGGCCACGTTACTTGTACATACAAGTCAGCCCCTGTTTAACAACAAGAGAGCATTTGTTGTTATGGCTCAGGAAGGAGTGTATCATAGACACACAAAGGCTCTATTGCTATCTGCCGAGTGGACATCTTCCACCTAGTGGACGTCTATGGGGCCTTCTGTGTAGTTTGTTGTGCTCTACGCAATTATTAGAAACCACAATAAGCAACCATAGCTTATGTAAGACGGGGATGATGGTAGAGGGGTTTTAAAGATGGGGTCATGCCAAATAAAAGCAGCCAGATATGTGCAAGACAATATAAGAAATAAATTTCTGGCAAATGTATTTTTCTAGGCCTATATATAAGAAAAAAAGTTGAGAGGGATATTAAAAGAATAAGAAAAAAGCCACTTTCAACAATTAAAACGAATTTGGCTAACGAAAACCACAATAAAGCAACTGTGTGCATGTCGTTACATGAATGCCGTAGTTACCACACAAATAGTTACTTCCCATAGCAATCAAATAATAAATCAAACCAGGCCAGTCAATGCATATTAAACCCAGGGGCTTGTATAATGGTAGCACATACTGGTCACGTTTGAGGGAAACTAATCTAGAGAAGAAGACAACTCGATCGCTCGAACAATACATTTATTCGCCTGACGTTTCGACATCCGTCGCGGATTCATCATCAGAGACATTAGCATAAAATGGTAGCAGACCCGGAAACTAATCTGCCTAGTCAGCCAGGTCATCCGCACTTAAAAGCTGTGTCCAGGATGTAGTTTCTGTGGCCCCTAACTAAACCACTAATGTCCCACTGACGCTGTGATACATTAACCCAGATTTGCCCCAATCGTCCTTCAAAAGCTTTCACAAGCACATACACACATACACCTAGATAATGTCTAGCGATGACTGTTCAGGTATGACGAAAGTTGATCGGAGATGTACGTTAAAGCATCGGTGCTGTATTGCTGTTTGCGTTTAATCTTTATGAGTCCTATATACAATGCAAGCTTTCATATTGTCTTTTTTTCTTCTGTGTAGTCGGCCACCGCTCTGTTTGATATCATGCTATACTATGAATCCTGTATCGACTTGTCCATCTCCTTTTCCCTTGATCGAACGGTTCCGAGCACCGCGTGGCAACGCTGTGTTGCTTACCTTCGGAAGGTAAGTTTTCTTTTTTTTGATGTCATAAGATTTCGTGACCTATTATTCAACTGCAGACGGTCGTTGCCTATTAATATGATTATTAACTGTCCAATTAAGTGTTAGCCTCGAAGAGTGAAACTTGACGGGCAAAAAGAGTAAAAACAATTAGTCATAGAGGTGGGCGCATGGTGAGGGGGTAGAGGAGGTAGTTGTCACAGCATGGC